AGGAAACGCAATTACCCAAAGAAAAAATTTGGACAATCCCACTCCTCGTAAAGAGTCCAAAAGGTAAAGAATTTCAAACGCCAGACCTTGAAATTGAATTTTTAATAGATTAATAGATTCCGGAGCTGAATCAAACATCATCAACATACCCACTTGGAATGAAATAAAAAGTTTACATCCAAAATTATTGCCTTTTAAAACAACAAGCAGGCTAGCAACAGCACAAGGATCAACCTTAACAAACTATGGAAAAATCGAACTCTTCCTTGTTCCCACTCGAACAAGGGAACAGAATAAACTCTTAAGCAAACCGTTTAAACAAACCTTCCATATTACAGATATAAAACACAATATCATTGGAATCCCATTTATTATTAAATACCTCCCAACTATAAATATTTTAAGCAGCAGAATTCAAGACAAATACACAAGAATGAAAAACACAGCCCTAACCATTTTCCAACGAATAAACAAACAACCACCATTTTCTCAGATTTCTACGCCATATACAACCAAGAACGGAAACACTTGAAACCACTAGCAGGTTATATATACAACTTTTCAATCAAACAAGTTCACCAATACGGTATAGAACAAAATAAACAACGTCTCTTTATGTCTGACCTTGAATTCAGACCAATTCATAAATGTTTCCGAGTAACAATCTCATCTATCAAATACATGAAAAATTCAAACTCAGACATAATTCCCTTCCATGTATATAACAATTCTCCATACAAAATAACCCTACCTCTAGGACTCCTAGGTTATTGTGAAACTAATGCAACAACTTCTCCCACAAAAGTAGCATATAGAGTAAATAATTTTTTACAACTACTAGATATATGCCAATCAACAATTCTTGACGAAGAACTATCGATAAATAATATAATAAGCAATGAAAAACGCAACACAGATTATTTCATGAAAACACCTTACCTTAAACCAACATTTCTAATACTAAAATACACAGCAGAACAGCAAAAATTCTTTACAATGTTCAACTTTCAACACTCTCAGATAACACAAAAAGAGTTTGAACTATTAGCCGATTTACTATTGAAATACCCAAAAGCTTACGCAACATCTAAATTTGATGTTGGAAAACTAAACTCACCACTACATTTACCTCTAAAACCTGATGCAGTTTTCAAAAAACAACGAGCAAGCAAAGTTCCAATACACTTGCGAGACAAAGTTAACAGATTACTGGACATATTAGAACAATATGAAATCTTTTCCCCAGTGAATATAGAAGAACAGCCAAAAGGCAACACATTTATAAACCCCGTTATCATTTTAGCAAAAGGAGAACCATTGAAAATAGTTCTAGATGCAAGATACCTCAATTCACTCATTGATGAATCTCAATGTAACTGGCCTATTGAACCAATTCAAGTAATTCTCACAAAAATTCAGGTAAATACTTCACAACAGCAGACATGAATAGCACATATAATCAAATGCCACTAGATGAACAATCACGACGATTAACAAAATTCGTTATCCGAAATCAACAATACGAATTCAATAGACTATTCTGTGGAATCTCCATAGGACCAGCAGCATTCTCAGCATTTATGAGTAAAATTTTTCGACCACTCATACTAAACAAAAATGCAATAACATATTTAGACGATGTTTTCATGCAATCACAAACCAACGACCAAATGTTCATTGATTTAGAAAAATGTCATCAGATATTACTAAACGAAAATATGACAGCAGCCCTGGATAAATCACATTTTTTCCTAACCCGTGTAAAATTTTTTGGACACATAATTGAAAGAAATACTATAACTCCATTAAAATCCCGCATTGACGCAATTCAAAAACTTCAACCTCCCTCCAATAAAAATAAAATACACGAATTTCTTGGAATGCTTAGCTTCTTAAGTAAATACGTATATAAAATGCAGTTATACTTAGGACCATTCTATAATATTCTTAGACAACAGAATAGTTTTCAATGGACATCAGAACATCAAACACGATATAAAGAAAAAAAGTCTTATCACTGAACAAATTTCAAACACAATCCCAGATCCAGAGCAACTTTTTTATGCTATGTGCGACGCCTCACAACGGGACAAATATAATTAACCTTATTTCAGCAAATTAAAGACTATTTACACAAGCTGAACTTAGACTCTCTACTCTTATGAGAGAATGCACAGCCATAATAAATACCCTCACAGGATATGAATTTTTAATACTTGGATCCAAATATCCCACAGTTTTATTTACAGATCATAAACCCATAATTTTTCTTTTCACACAAAAATCAAACCCAAACCATAGAGTTTATAGATTTCAATAAGTTTTAATGAAATTCCGCATAGTTTGGATAGCAGGAAAAAACCTTGCACTACCTGATACACTCAGTAGAAATACACCACCTGAATTATTAACAAGAAAAAAACAGTAGAAATGCCACAAAATATTAAAATTTTCCTTGCAAAGGATGAAACTTCACCACGATAACAATGCAAATATGCAGTAAAAACTGACATAGATCAATCACAAATAAAAAAAAAGTTACAACACTTTTCACTATACTTAGATTGTCAAAACAATCCCTACGAACCTACGAAGTAGATCTACTAGGAAAATTTACACTTAAACCAATACCATATTCATCATGGATTAAAAACAATACACAAAAACCAATCAGACAAAAATCATACAAAAAGACCTATTCCTTTTAATAGAACAAGAGAACTTAACTGACAAAATAATATTATCAGGCCCACCAGAAAATGACTTAAAATACACAATAAACCAAGTCTTTAACCTCCATGATCCTCTAGATACAATGCTTCTATCAAAAATAGAGATTGATTGAAAACATTCATTTTTCTACCAAACACAGAAAAGCCTTAAAGCCGTAAAATTAATATTTTCAAAGTAATAGATTCATAAAAGTTGCCAATTAATTCAGAGCAGTACTAAGCTTTTCAAAGACGCTTCTTTATAAATTTAAAATCATTTACGCGCCCACAATCCTATCCACAATCGCACAGCTCACCCACGAAGGTTGCTTAAACTAATAAGTTTGTTTTAACTTTCACTGATAACAACTCTAATAAATTCAACACGTTTCAAACTTTCCTTTAACCCGATTGGAAAGGAATTATATAATAATCCAAATTAACCAACGCAGTTTACTAAACACCGCAAACCACAACCTAACAGCATGACAAAGAAAGGAAAACCCACGGTACCCAAATCGGATTAAAACCAGCTTAAAACTGGATAATTTATTCTTTTAAAGACTACTTTCAAGTCTAAACACAAACGAATAAAACACAAAAAAGTCGAAAGACAAACCCAAACCAAACGATTTGATTTTTGAGAAAAGGACACAACCAAAACACAAAAGAAAAAAACCAGTAATAAAAAAGGCACAAAAGGTTGAACACAAAAAGGACCCTACAAAAAAGAGGGTATGAAATTATACTCCACTCCTGGCCTAACCCACCAGAGAGGACGTCCTGAGCATGCTCTTCAGCCGGCCTAACCCACCGTGCTACAACCACGCTTTGTGACCCACACTCTATTTTTGACAAGAGTTACTCAAGGGTGAGTGACTCTTAAAAATAGCCGAACTAAAACAAAAACGCTTTTGCGATAACTATTAATACATGATCATAACTAAAAACAAAATTAACAAAGATTTGTATATGTAAATAATACAATGCAGTATATAGATTTCATACAGTCCATAGACGAGCAGCAAGGAAGTTGACAACCCAATCACACTCCAACTACGGAATGGCAAGTACACCCGATTTGCTGCCTACAGTCACTACACTCAAAGGATTTAAAGTACGACTTGGCATCGCAGCAAAGGAAACCCATTAAAACAGACCAATGGCCATCTTGATGTTGAGTATACGTACAGATCCAAGTCACTCCGCACTTCACACGAAAGTCAAACTTCATGCTACACCCGAACGAGGCTGGATCATTACAACGGATCAGAAATCTTGAAACGATCTCCCAAAAACCATCGTGATCAACAGCAACCGCTTAAGAACAAGTTCATATCGACGATTCGAGCTTCTTGGTCGTCCAAATCCGAACAACTGATAACAATCCTTCTTCCTACCTAATCAAGGAAACAAATGCTCGCAACTTCTAAAAGAAAAGCAGCATTATCCATCCTCCATTATAAAAAATCATTAAAAACTAAAACTCTTTAAACCCCGGATGGGTGGAACCAGATCTAAACTGAATTATATTATTCGTCATTATTATGATATTTTTTGTCTATAAAATATTGAATACTAACCAATCATGCTCTATCAACTAACAACCCACTTATTTGTAAGTGCTGAAACTACTTGTAGTTTCAGCACCAGAGCAATTTGAATTAAACTTAGAATATAGTTGCCTACTCCAGAGAGACCGACTCGCATAAACCAGTATACACTAGATCTATTGAGACTAGAAGATATAAGAGTAAGATTAAGATTGATATTAGACTATGAAGTTGCACGAATCTATCCGGCCGAAAATAAGATAGCGTGACGAGCAGACGGCGTATTTTATCTGAAATTACTCAATGAGTATTACCAAAAGGTCTTAACTCACTTGGGCCATTAACTTTTTCGATGTCAGTTGCTCTCCTCATCCAAATATGTTAGAATAATAACACCTTCAAGCGCGATTGAAAACAGTCAGGTTAACCGATTCTTCTCAAACCTTCCGATGATCTTATACTCAAAATTGATATGGCCCACAAAGATATTTGGGGTTCAAGGCCATGTCACTGGCTATACCCTGGATGTACTTGACGAAACGGTTAATTATTCTAAGAGTTATACGAAGCTGAAACCTGAAATGTTTCTTCCTGGTGCAATATCTGAAATTTTTGAGGTAGTACGTCCCAAATTATAAAACGAGCGGGGGTTTAATATGTAAATTTTATAATAGCCCTATGTATGCTTCCTAACATTTCCTGTGATTATGTTTCGTCTATTTTTTCTTTTCACCAGATTGGGAAACGAAACTTCTGCCGGGTCAAAGTGAGGATATGCTGTGGGCCCTGCAGAATGTGTCTACTATTGCACTCATAGTGTCGCTGTCCAACTTCAGTGTCATTTTCGTCCTCGTCGAGAATTTCTTCACATTTATTCGTCATTTTCGAAAAATGTCTCACTTGATGATGTAGACAATATTTTCGCTACAAGTTGCTGTGCAGATTTGTTTATTTTGAATTAATCCACCGGAAACAGTAACAAAAATGGTGCTTATTGCTCTCTGTTTCACAGTTTTTGTTCGATTTCAAGCGACCTTTGGATTTAATTATAGTATACTAACTATATAGAAGCCTAAGCGTAGCTTTGTCTTTTAGTATTGAGTCTCGCTGACCTCCAAAAAGCTTGCAAAAAAAGATTTTTGATTTCTTGTGACGACATGAAAAATTATGCATACATTGATTTTTTTACAGAAAGAAAGACAGAATTTTTTTTATCCAGTATGTTGAGGCAAAATTTCATCAAGAAACATTTAAATTTACACTCAAATGTATTTAAATATCTATACAATCGATTAAACGAAACTGGATGGGCTAGACTAAAGGCGCAATAGGCGCCTACTGAAGGTCGGTTCGATAGCTAACGAGAGTAAAGTTCCTGAAAGAAGGCAAAGGACATGAAATGAGAAAATAATCTTTATTATAATAAAATTTGAATTGAAGCTCTCTTTTTTAGTAACTTTATTCAGATCAGAATCATGCGTACACGCTATCACCGACAATCCTAAATGTTGCTCCATTTTTCCTGGATAAATCAGCTAAGGAAAAAAAACATTTCTTAGTTTTTTTGTAAAATTGATTTGTAAATTATTGTTTTTTGATTAAGCGATCGAAAAGAGCGTTAACAAATCATAAACGTATAATTCATGCGCACGGTAAGTATTTTGTGGTCCATGTGTTTGAATTTCTCGTCTGATTCATAAAGTTCTTTTTGATGAATCAGATTCATCTCATTCCTTTTCAGGAGGAATTTTTTTAACCTCCTCTTAAACCCATTAATAACTACTTGGTTTCTGGTATTCCGAAAAGGCATTCTATGTGCATTGGATATATCGTTCTCAGCTATTTGGGCCTCTTGTACAGTGCTCAAGTGAACAAGTTTTGTGAATGTTGTCTCCTTCGACTCGCTTTGTTCCTCACCTGTTTGCTTATGTCGAGGCCGTGATTTTTTCATATTGCTACTGCGGGTATAAGGCTCGAATAATTCTGACTCCGATAATGATTTTATGTTATAATGTTTTCACGACCTTCTTTTCGATCGTGTTTTCAGGACTTTTTCGATAATGTTTTCAGGACCTTGTTTTTGATAATGTTTTCTCTCCCATAATAAGTTTCGGAGAAATGACCTCTCACTTGACAGAGAAGTAACTTCCCACTTTTTAGTTCAAAATAAGAACATGATTGGACATCGCTAGATTATCCAATCATGTTCTAATTCTGAACTAAAAAGTGAGATGTGACTTCTCTATAAAGTGAGAGGTCATTTCTCCGAAACTTATATTTCTCCTTTCAAAATAAGCGTTACTTCATAGCCTAAAACTAGTCTGGAGGTTCAGTTTTACCATGTCCCATGCGATATTTGTTGAGAGCAATATCACTTTTTCTGTCCTAGCTCAAATATCCTGATCAATTTGCCTGCTCTGCTTTCTAACTTCCTTCTCTCCCTTATCTTTGAACCTAACTTCATGTTCATACTCTGAAACTTCTTAACCTCGCATAAGTTTCTCGACTCCTCCTTACCTCGTTTATCTAATGATGTTTCAGTTTTTGGAGGGGCTCTAGACTCATTTTCCAGCTCCAGCCCTTTCATTATATCATCGTCATTTATCATCAAGTTCTCATTTTGCTCACTAAAATTCTCAATCTTCTCTTCTGTCTCTCTGCAAAAATAAGTCTTATTGACTCTGAACTCTGAAGAATTGTTTTCCACTTTATCAACACTTTTTTTTCGTGATTTCTGAATCATAATATTTTTTGAAATGAAAAGATATCCTGGCTCAATAAGTGGATAAACAGTCCCATTTCCTTGATCAATACATGGCCTTTCTCCAAAAACTACTTTAGCCCCTCTTCTAGTAAGCTTTGAGACAGACACTAAGTTTTTTGAGTTTTCTGGTACTCATTGAAACTTTTTTCGAATTTCCTTGAGAATGTTTCACAAAAAACTCAACTCTTTCTTTGCCTAGAACCTTTGACTCCGTTTTGTTCTTTAAAGGGTGTTAAAAACAGAACAGATTTCTGTCTGAACATTGGACCTACCCATACCAAACATGCAATTTTTTCACCTAAAATTTCTCTCCCTTTTCTTACTGATGCCTCTTTCTGTTCTGCATTTGCATTATTTCTAACATCGACTTCTCTATTGATAACTTTATTCAGTTAAGATGAAAAATTCTAGCCTCAAATTGCTCTGCAAAGTACAAAAAATATTTTCTTTTCCTGGAAACTTTATTCTCTCTGACTAAGACCTTTTTTCACCTAAACCGTATTGCTCTGAACAAAAACCTTATGTTCCACGAACTTTTCAATGACAAAAATTCTGTCAACATATCAGCAAACATATCGCAGCGCATAATATAAATAATCATGTATCTCATTACCTAAGTCTGATCCGAAACCTAACGATAAGCGTACTGAATAACACATCAGCCATTCAGCAAAGCTACGGTTACTTCACAGACTTCATACATAGCAATATAGATTAGCCAAATAGAAAATTTGTAGTGTTTTCTTTTGTAGAACTTCTACTCTTTAGATCAGGTTGGGGTTCAGATTTAGCAGCGATGGATTACGATCCCCCCATGCAACTACAAATATTTAGAAATTTATGAAACACCACATCAATTTAGTTAATCAAATTGAACAGTTTGTCAGTTTCTATCTGTCACTGTTTTTTGTCTCTTCCTTTCTCTCTCCCTCTCCTCCCTCTCTCTCTCTCTCTCTTTCTCTCTGTGTGTATCTATCTTTCGTGTGCTTCTTTCAGCTTTCCTTGTGACTCCAGATCTCTGACTTCTTTGATCACTGAATTGTCTCAATGACTCTTTGTATTGCTCTGTTGTTTATCTCTCAGTTCACTATCTTCTTTGTGACTTTTTCCTCGTTTGTCTTTTTTTTACTTAAAATGTGTCAACAATTTACAGCTTGCTCTCTCAGATTTTTTTTGTTAAGTCAGTCAATCTTGACTTCTGACACGAATTTTAGCAGTTGGGCCCATAACCTTTCACAGGTTGGCTGCAAAACTAAGTATAATCAACAGTTTAATTAGAGAGTGATAAAAGAGTAGTAAATCAGTTTCTATATATATAGAAAGTTAACCGCCTGTTGAGATCTGAGCTCGTGATATGACATCGCACGTTGTCACGCGATATCGCGCGCTGTCATATCACGAGCTCAGATCTCAACAGGCGGTTGACTTTCCATATATATAGAAATTGATTTACTACGCTTTTATCACTCTAATTAAACTGTTGATTATACTTAGTTTTGCAGCCAACCTGTGAAAGGTTATAGGCCCAACTGCTAAAATACGTGTCAGAAGTCAAGACATGTCAGAAGTCAAGAAGAAGTGGATATACTACTCTTTCATCGCTCTCTATTTAAACTATTGTTTCTACTTAGTTTTGCTGTCAACCTGTGAAACGATAATGTTTTCAGGTTGACCTTCTTTTCCTTGTGTGGTATTTCATTCTTGACCCATAGCATCAAATCATTTTTCACTTTTGATTTTGCTTCTGTCATCCTCAAATTATTTCCTCCTCTAAAAAACAAACAATAACTGGTTTGTTTTTTGTTATTCCGGGAAGGCAATCTATGGGCAACGGATATATCGTTCTCAGCTATTTGGGCCTCAGTACAGTGCTCAACAACTTTTCTCAGTGTGCTCTCCGTTGACTCTCTTTGCTCGTCACTGTTTGCTGTTGTCGAGGCCAAGACTTTTTGTATTGTCTCCGTGAGTATGAGGCTGGAACAATTCTGATTCCAATAATGTTTTCAGGTTGTTGATCTTCTTTTCATTGAGTGATATTCAATTCTTGACACATAGCATGAGTTCATTTTTTTCACTTTTGATTTTGGTTCGGTTATCGCCAACTTAATTACATCGTTGATTTGCCTTTAAGAAAGTATATCCTTCATTCTTGAAGAAGAGAAGGAGAAGAATAAATTCATTCGAGTCAAAATAAATTGATATAACTAAATAAACAAAAAAACAGCAATAGGTAGCGACTTGAAGAGGGTAAATGATGAGCTGATCTGCTCTAAGCCTACCCTATTTCAAATTTTTGCAGCTCTTTCACATAAGCCCTATTTTCCATTTTCTTTCGCATGGTCTGTTTGCCTTTGCACATTCGACTCTGTTATTTCCTTGGTTAGATCCTGCTGGTGATATTGTCCTTTTCGGCTCATTTTTAGGCGATTTATTATTAAACGAACTCATGAAGCTCTTGGGAGATTTGAGATACTGAATATGCTTCATACCTTTAAAACACTATTGGATGATTTATCTAACGACTTGTCTAAATACCCGCATAGCCATTGAAAGTTCAGTCGATATTTTCAGCTCTTTCAATCCCTGAATCTTCAGTTGCCTTTCCTTCGCTTTTCTTTGTTTGCGTTCGCCTTGTATGTGTCTGCCTTTAGTTTCCGAAACTTGAAATACTTAACTAGGAGGCGGAGCAAAAAGGAGAATGGCCCAAAAGCATAATGGGTCCAATAGCAGAAATACAGCATGGAGCATCAAATGGAGCACCAGGACGCTCAGCATCTCAGCGAGCCACTAATAGTCCTTCGAGATCGCCGAGGTCAGGATCCACGCAAAGGAACCATCCAGATATCGTCATATAATAAGCATGTTGTTGTTGTTATTGCTCCGTGGACTGCTCTGAGAATATCTCCGCGAGTTCTTCTACGACTAGTAGGGGATTTTTCCACAAATCTTCGATGGTAGCATGTTGGCGAATAAGCATGTTGGATCGCTAGTTTGCTCGAAATTGGGCTATAAAAATCGAAAATTTCAAAACGGTGTTTGTCGCTTGAGAAATTTTTTTAATTTTTTTTTAAATATCGTATGAATCGCTCCGCATTCCGATGCTTATTTGTGTTACCCAAATTTGCGTTGAAAGAAAAGTAGAATAAGTTTTTTTTTTAATTAAAACGCACCCGAATGTACATTGCACGATCGGAATGCGGAGCTGATAAATTGTGTAGTCAGAAGTGAAAGTCTCACATACGTCATTTTTTTCACGTAAAAAACAAGTAAAAAACTCCTCGTATCGGTACGAAGCCTTGAATTTTCCGACTGCCTTTTAAGGTCTATGGAGCATTAATAACTTTAAAAAAAATAAATGTAATAAAATAAGGAGCATTTTTAAATTTTTTTTGAGAAATCATCGTTAATTGTCCCAAATTGGCCAAAATGTCAATCTTTAAACCCACATAACTTTACGAAAAATGATCACAGATAAAATATCTGTTCAATTTTAAGCTCAGAACAACAATACGTTTCGAATGATAAAAAAAAAAATTCTGTCAAAAATGGCTAGTTCAAAAGTTGAATATTCCGTTACTTTTTTGACGAAAGTCGGAACAATAATAAGCTCAATGACCATTCCATTGTATACTGACCGGGCCCAAGTTGGTGTTGGTAGATTCTAGTGGTGCAAATATTATAACTTCAACACCAGCGCTGTTTTGAAACAGTGCTGGTTTATGAGGCGAACCTAGATGAACTCTATAATGCGCTTACTTTTGATAGTTTGTCTCTTTGCTTTGTTTAATTATTTACAAATGGTTTACGGGTGTAGTTAATTAATTCAACGAATTAGAGTTCAAACCTTTTTTATCTAAATCTTAATGTATCAAAGGATGATTAAGTGTTAGTCATATCCAAAGATAAACATGACCAACGCAGGAACGTAAGACATACGGTGGACAAAATTAAACTCAAAAAGTAGGTTTTACTCTTCAAAAAGACTTTGTGCCAAGATTTCACAGACTACTTTAAACCATCTTTTATTTCAACTTAAACTAATTTTTTGCATCTATCAACAGCAAATGATATGGGTTATCACTAAGTAGTTGCGAGGATTCACGATTTACTTGTTTAATTTACCCAAGTTTTCATCAGACTTGTTGAGTAAAAACCAATTTTTACGTTACATTTTGTCCACCAGTGTTGTCTTTGAGATTTTGCGAGTACTGGTTTTTCACCCCTGGCTGTTTTGGTGCTCAAGACTCACTTTAGACAGTTTTTGCAGTGAAGAGGAAAGAAATTCTACATTACCTTGTAGAATGAGACGCTCATTCTCTAATTACTGCTGTTAGTTATGAAATGTGACAGGACGAAGTTACGAAATTTTCCCATACTTATTAAATCCCAGTGACAAAACAGTTTTTTATACCATAATATGCCACGTCATTTTAAATATCCCATTTGTTAGTTAAAATTTGAAGGATTGAAACTACGCGGTAATGAAGTTATCGAAGATTAGAGCTCACCTCTAAATAGCAATTTAATTCATTCTAATTTTCAACTTCTAATGGGAGGCTTTAAACAGAATAGTGCTTTTTGGAAAAGAAAAAGTTTTTTTCAAGGGATTAAAGTTGGTTTTTCAACCTGTAAGTAGAGTCATTGTTGGAGAAATATTGATAATGAAGCAACGAAATTAGGTCATTGCACTCACATCAACATCATAATCAAACTAAAAAGGACATGCAAAACTGTGACATCGAAATTTATCTATGGATAAAGTCAAGCAGGCAAAATGTTGCTGATGTTAGATGGAGACGCATTCACTAAAAAGCGTGATACTGAATCTGGGTTGTCAATGTTCCAATGACGACGAGGCCTAATTTGCGACGAGGTCCTTACTCTATTTAGCGCAGGCACCGTTATCAGTTCAACCCCAGTCCTATACAAGCAAGGCAATTAGTTGAACAGCTGAAGAAACCGCAAAAACTCAGATCAATCATAATGATAGCCAATTCATAGCAGCTAGCCTCAAGACAGTTAGTGATAACCCTGGGGTTCAATTTCATATCCAAATTAGTGCTTTTTAATCTTTAACTCTTATTGGAAAGGTCTCTCTTCAAACTTCAAGACAACGCGGCTTCAAGTAACATTAGTACAAGCTATGCAATCACCGTCTGGCACAACGGCATGACTTTGCTTTTTCAGGGCCGCTACCCCTCGCTTCACATGCTTTTTTAGAAACAGTTCAGGTTCATTCGTTCAACCAGAAGTTCAATTCACTGGAAGCAAGCAGTGGCACCACAAATCAAACCTTTAAAAAACCATGAGAACCAATAACTTTGTTTCCTGTGATAAACTTGTTAGGATTCTTTTTGTGCTCCTTTCAAATATTACTTTTTGATTGGCGTGGATTTTTTGTCCTGGGCTCTTATGGTTGTTGGGCTGCAGTGGAATCAGATGTAATGGTATTAGTTAGAGAGTTAAGGTAGTATGTCAGATGAAACCTATACGAACGTATAATAGAACCTCCGATCTGACAATAAATAAAATTTTTGCCTTTTCGGCCAACTGGCTCTTCGGTATGTTGGTCTTCTATTAAAATGAAGTACCATTAATTGATTTCATAAGACACCGTTAAGTATCTTGTATATCAAATTAATGACATCAATTTTGCATGAGGTCTAATGGTGAAAAGTCCATCCTATCGAGCGCAACATTTTGCAGCTTCCTTTGTCAATCGGCTTTGATATCATCGTCCAATTGAAAAAAAAAACAATTAAACTATTTATGTAACTTTTCACTCTGAATTTCTACGCGTGCTAGCAGTTATTTAAACTATTCCGAAAAAAACATTACTCTGTTGTTTTTTTTTTTCAATTAACTCCTTCAATGATGAGACTATATCTTTTACCAGACCGATTGAATGGACGCTCATTTTTTTTTCAATTAACTCCTTCAATGATGAGACTATATCTTTTACCAGACCGATTGAAGAGACGCTCATTCTCTAATTACTGCCGTTAGTTATGAAATGTGACAGGACGAAGTTACGAAATTTTCCCATACTTATTAAATCCCAGTGACAAAACAGTTTTTTATACCATAATATGCCACGTCATTTTAAATATCCCATTTGTTAGTTAAAATTTGAAGGATTGAAACTACGCGGTAATGAAGTTATCGAAGATTAGAGCTCACCTCTAAATAGCAATTTAATTCATTCTAATTTTCAACTTCTAATGGGAGGCTTTAAACAGAATAGTGCTTTTTGGAAAAGAAAAAGTTTTTTCAAGGGATTAAAGTTGGTTTTTCAACCTGTAAGTAGAGTCATTGTTGGGGAAATATTGATAATGAAGCAACGAAATTAGGTCATTGCACTCACATCAACATCATAATCAAACTAAAAAGGACATGCAAAACTGTGACATTGAAATTTATCTATGGATAAAGTCAAGCAGGCAAAATGTTGCTGATGTTAGATGGAGACGCATTCACTAAAAAGCGTGATACTGAATCTACTACCCATTGATGTGGCGCAGAATGGGGTTGTCAAAGTTCCAATGACGACGAGGCCTAATTTGCGACGAGGTCCTTACTCTATTTAGCGCAGGCACCGTTATCAGCTCAACCCCAGTCCTATACAAGCAAGGCAATTAGTTGAACAGCTGAAGAAACCGCAAAAACTCAGATCAATCATAATGATAGCCAATTCATAGCAGCTAGCCTCAAGACAGTTATTGATAACCCTGGGGTTCAATTTCATATCCAAATTAGTGCTTTTTAATCTTTAACTCTTATTGGAAAGTTCTTTCCGATATTAAATAATATCCTTTGTTCCATTCAGCTCTCTTCAAACTTCAAGACAACGCGGCTTCAAGTAACATTAGTACAAGCTATGCAATCACCGTCTGGCACAACGGCATGGCTTTGCTTTTTCAGGGCCGCTACCCCTCGCTTCACATGCTTTTTTAGAAACAGTTCAGGTTCATTCGTTCAACCAGAAGTTCAATTCACTGGAAGCAAGCAGTGGCACCACAAATCAAACCCTTAAAAAATCATGAGAACCAATAACTTTGTTTCCTGTGATAAACCTGTTAGGATTGTTTTTGTGCTCCTTTCAAATATTACTTTTTGATTGGCGTGGATTTTTTGTCCTGGGCTCTTATGGCTGTTGGGCTGCAGTGGAATCAGATGTAATGGTATTAGTTAGAGAGTTAAGGTAGTATGTCAGATGAAACCTATACGAACGTATAATAGAACCTCCGATCTGACAATAAATAAAATTTTTGCCTTTTCGGCCAACTGGCTCTTCGGTATGTTGGTCTTCTATTAAAATGAAGTACCATTAATTGATTTCATAAGACACCGTTAATTATCTTGTATATCAAATTAATGACATCAATTTTGCATGAGGTCTAATGGTGAAAAGTCCATCCTATCGAGCGCAACATTTTGCAGCTTCCTTTGTCAATCGGCTTAGATATCATCGTCCAATTGAACAAACAATTAAACTATTTATGTAACTTTTCACTTTGAATTTCTACGCGTGCTAGCAGTTATTTAAATTATTCCGAAAAAAAAACTTTACTCTGTTGTTTTTATTCAATTAACTCCTTCAATGATGGGACTATATCTTTTACCAGACCGATTGTTACCAGACCGACTTTTTACCAGACCACAACACAATAATTTTTTTCACTCAATATTTCAAAACTAGCAGAGATTCGAGAAGGACTTTCGCTCAGAAACCCTGAAATAAATGTCTCAAAGCAGACTGAATGGCGTCATTACATCTATCAATCAAAATTGTTTACCGAGTCTGGTAAAGGGCCCATATTTTAATTGGGTGCTGGATATCAGGCCAACGGAACTTCAAGCCGAATCGTAAAGTCAGGGTCTTCGAGCCGAACATTTTCTCAAATAGTCATAAAGTAGAATATTTTCAAGACTATTTTGAAAAGTTTCTCGATTTCACCAGTAATTGGCTTCTTCTAAAATAAATTTTGAGCCACGAAGTGATTTTTAGTAATGTTAATTTTAAAATCTTTGTAGAAAGGTTTTTCTTCTGTATAATTTATGCATTGCAAAATCCGGGTGATGTAATTAATGAATGCCATTCCCAGGTGGTGTATTGCCACAAATAACATTTATAATGGTTTAAACTTGCCTATTTGTTGAATGCTACTATACAGATGAAAATTTAGCATTTTGAGGTGCTTTTGAAGTCTATATTTTGTCCTGAAGTCACTTCGGCTTGAAGTCTCGTCGGATTTCTCTGTCTTCCCGGTTCGAGGTCCCAGACTCATGTCCAGACCAGACCTTAAGGGTCGCGCAACATCCGGATTTAGACCCAAATTGCATAGACGTCTCAGCCTCGGTCTGGAAAATCGCGCCGTCTCCGCCTTGGTCTGGAAAGTCATGCCATCTCCACCCTGGTCTGGAAAGTCGCATCGTATCCACCTCAGTCGCGAGGATTATAATCTTGTTCGCGCCACCTCCGCTTCCGTCTGAAAAGTCGCTCCGTCTTGGTCTGAAAAGTCGCGCCGTCTCCGCTTTGGTCTGCAAAATTCGCGTCGTCTCCGCCTTGGTCGCGAGGAATCGATTCTTGGTCGCGCCGTCTCCGCGATGGTCTGGAAAGTCGCGCCGTATCCGCCTCGGTCTGGAAAGTCGCGCCGCGTCCGTCTTGTTCTGGAAAGTTGCGCCATATACACCGTGGTCTGGGCTGTCTCCACTGTGATTGCTAAAGTCGCGTCGTGTCTACCACGGTCGCAAAGAATTGTTTCTTAGTCGCGTCGTCTCTGCCTCGGTCTGGAAAGTCGCGCCGTCTCCGCCTTGGTCTGAAAAGTCGCGCCGTCTCCTCCTTGGCCTGAAAAGTCGCGCCGTCTCCACTCTGAACGCGAAAGTCGCGCCGCTTCCACTACGGTCGCGATGAAATTATTCTTGGTCGCGCCGTCTCCGCTTCGGTCTGGAAAGTCGCGCCGTCTCCACCTCGGTCGCGAAAGTCTTGAAAGTGCACTTTTTGGTCGCGCTGGCCAGGCCGGTCGCGACAATGCTTTTTGAGTCGCGCCTTATCCTATCCACCTTGGTCGCGAAAGTCGTGCCGTCTCCACCTCGGTCGCGAAAGCCCTGAAAAACTTTTTTCAAATTCGCGCCGTCTCCATGTTGATCTGCAAAATCGCGCCGTCTCCATCTAGGTATGAAAAGTCTGGAAATGGCTATGTTTGGTCGCGCCGGTCACGCGGTTTCCTGAGCCGCAGGATCGCGCCGTATCCGCCTCAGTCGCGAAAGTCGCGCCTTAGTTTTTTGGTCGCGAAAGTCTGGAAACGGCAACTATTGGTCGCCAGAGTCTGGACATACCAAATATGAGTCGCGATGTTTTGGTCGCGCCACCTCCGCTTAGGTCGCGAAAGTCGCGACGGATCATCATAGTCGCAAAAGTCTGGAAATGCCAGGTTTTGGTCGCCAAAGTCTGGACATGTCAAAGTATCGTCGCGAAAGTCTGGACTTGAGTCCGGGGACCTCGACCCGGGATGTTATCATGATATTTACTTATTTAATTAAGCTTAATGGATCTTGGTTTTAGTTGAGTTAGCTGAAAAAGATCTATAAATTGCGGTGGAACCTTTGAGTCTAGGCTAGCTCATTAGCTTCTGTTTCGATTTCAGATAGCGTTTGCTGTTGTGTTGGTAACCTAATTGCCGGAAAATTCTAGCGTTGAAGTTGAAGTTCTCTGAATTGGAGAAAACTGGGTTCGTTTTGAAATGGCAGAACAGAGTTTCGCATCGGCTGCTAATTTTTCCCATTCACTCACAAGTCACTATGTACAAACAGCCGAAGAAGCTAACTCTGCAATATCACCAGTGAGCGTCTTCATATGCATGTCCATGCTTAAACACGGCGCCACCGGCAAAACCAAAACAGAGCTGGAGAAATCCTTGTCGATTAATTCGAAAAACGAAAATCAAGACGCTCAACATGTGATCAGAAAGTTGACAGAATCATCAAATGATTTGTTCACGCTAACAACGGCAAATGGACTCTTTCTTCAAGAGGGATTCGAACCAGAAACGGCGTTTGTAGATCACTTGAAATCGGAGTTCACCGCGCATGTTGAGAATGCGAAATTTGGGTCGCAAGAGGGCGAGAAAATAGTGAATGACTGGGTAAAAAAAGAGACTAATGGAAAAATAAAAGATTTGATAAAAGACACAACTGAAGATCACGTGATGGCGCTAGTGAATGCGGTGTACATGAAGGGAAAATGGGCGAAGCCTTTCGAGAAAGAGGATACCGATGAAGGAGAGTTCAATCTTCTATCTGGTGAGCTTTTTTTCAACATAAGTTTAAGGGGTAAAGGCGCGTTCTTAGTGCTTCAGTTGGTGATTTGCCTTATGCCTTAAATTTCGTAATGAACCGTCAAATGAACTACTTAATAATGTGTTTGTATACACTGTTTACCTTCGCGATTGGTTTATACAATTTAAATAACCTGGTAAAATGTATTAAAAATACACAGTTTGGCTTCGTAATGTGCAAGATAAAATTGAAATTATAATATTTCCTGTTAGGTTATCGCATATTTTTTATATGCGATACCCTTTTAAGTTGTATAGAAGAATTCAATTCTGAAAACTATCTTGTTTTTCAAATTCTGAAAACTAACTTGTTTTTCAAATTCTGAAAACTATCTTGTTTTTCAAATTCTGAAAACTATCTTGTTTTTCAAATTGTGAAACCTAACTTGCTTTTCTGGTGCATTTAGATTTATCTTGAATTCTGGTTATTTAAGGAGAGAAGGTAAATGTGCAGCTAATGAAGCAAATCGGAAGTTTTGCATACGTCAAAAGTGGCAAATTTGTCATGGCCTTTTTGCCTTACAAAAGTGCCTCTAGCGACACAGCTTGGGAAATGGGCATACTTTTACCCGAACAGGGTTTGAAACCAACCGATTTCCTCAAATTTTTGCAACGTGATCAGTTGAAGGGCTTGAGGTCAAAAGCCAAGTTGGAAAGACTGGATGTCATCTTGCCGAAGTGTAGAGTGGAATGCACCATTGATCTAATTCCGATTTTTAAGAAATTAGGAGTAAAAGCTGCTTTCACGCCGGGTGCTGACTTCTCGGGAATTAGGTTAGTAGATGTCACGAAGTAAGTACGGAATTTAAATTTTTGATTTTCGACCGCAATTTGTCAAATTATTGAGGTCATGAGCTAAGAGTTTTATTAGATCGCAGACAAGCGTTTCCAATCGAATACGAACTTTTTCTGAACTTGTGTCCGGTTTGTGTGGAACATTAGTGTAACAAAGCTTGATGCTAAGACTCTTTCTTTTCAAAACGCCATTTCACAAGTTGAATTTAGTAAATTTTAAGCTGGCGACCGGTCTCGATGGTTGCTTACAAAGTTATTGATCTTTATCTACATACAAATATCAGTCGCATACATACAATATCTACATACAAATTTAAGTAGCAAGATGTGCAATCATGACTTGAATCCATGAATACTTTCGGAAATGAGCACCTTTGGAAATATTCCATCACTACTTTTTTCCATTTGTTGGCTTGGGTTTTGAATGCAATTTTGGATAGTTTGTATTTGTTGTTTTACTTTGTCTGAATTATTTGGATGCATTCGTCGCCTTTTTTGATGTTCAATTTTTAGGGGAAACGACGAAATATTTGTGCTCGGGTGGTTTTTGTTTTCAGACAAACTTTAACTACTAACTAGCAAGTTTGATAGATTTTTTTCGTTTCAAAGCTTTCAATGTTTTGGGCTCAGAAATTACAAACAAGCTTTCACTGCGATGATTTTTGTTAAGTTTTTAAAAGTCGATGAACGTATAAAAGGCTTTTATAGGTATTGGTGGTTTTTTTCAGGAAAAAGTCTTAAAACGGTCTAATAATTACGGAAAATTTTAATATTAAGGGATATTAATGTTTTTATGAATGCACTTCGGTATAAATTCTTTGTTTGATTTCAAGTTCATTTGCTAAAAGTTAAGTAAATTGCGCTCTCCAAATATGAACGTGGCGCCATAAAAAGTGGAAGATTTCTTGCTTCGAAAGTGGAATTTTATTTCAAGATTTTTTAGGCGAAGAAAAGCTTAGCTGATAATCAAATTTTGTCAACTGGATTGAAATCATCAAAAAAGTGTCGATCATAAATTGTGGTTGAAATTCAAATAGCTTTAAGTCCATCTGTTTTTTTTCTGGGTTTTTCGAATATTGAGATTTTTTCAAATAAAACAAGTCAGTATTTTTTCTGTTTACATAAGTTCATTGACTCTTTTCCATGAGTTTGTTGGCTTTGTTCGAATTTTAAAAATTACCAAATTTTAAAAATTGGTTGGTAAACAAAGCGCGAAAAACAACGTCATATTATAGCGTCGGCGGCAAATCAACCATTCAAAGTTTAGTTAAAGCAATCATGTTGCTCTTATTTTTCTTGTTCTATTTTTTTGGACCACAAACTTTTGTACCGATTTTAAAAGCGAGTCAAAAATTCAGATGATACGAGCATTCTTGTTTCTTTTCCAACGCATCAAAGTAATGAAGGACCGACTCATTTCTGCCTAGAATCGAAATTTGTGAGGAAAAGAACGATTCTCATTTCAAATGGTTCAACATTTTATTTAGTTGTCATCATTCAATTTTTAAGTACTTCTTGGCTTCACCTTCTACGCCATTGGGTTTAGGAATTAATTTTGCGCAATTAAGATTACCAAATTAGTATTTAAAGTTGCGAGCTTGTTGATTACGTGTCGATGAACGGAGGTTATGTTAAATTTTTGTTAGTTTCCTATTACAGTTTTGTAATATCTTTTTCACGTCAATTTTATTTGCGCTTTGGTTTTTGATTTTTTGTAGTTCAATTTAGCGGAACTACGAAAGCGCAAATGGCCTGAATGACTTCTATTTTCGAAAGTAGATTTTAAATTTCCAAGTTGAATAAAAAAAATTTATTGATCCAGTGTGTGTTGAAACTGGCTGGCTGAGTTTCTTCCAAAAAGTGTTAATAAGAAATTATTGTTGAAATTCGAAAAGTGTTAAGGTCAGATATATATTTTTTGAAATTTCTAAAACTGTCTGTTAGAATAATTCACATGGGATAGTTGTACCTGTGAGGAATCTTCGGTGTCACTTGCTTAGCAGCAACCTTTAATCGTTTTAGCTTTTTGTTGTTCTTCTTGTGGCTGTTGCCTCTTCTCGAAGGATATCATGTGGGTTGTGTGTACGTCATAAGCATGTTTTCGGCTAGATGACCATAACAAGTTTATTATCAAAATATGTTTCAGTGCAAATGAGTCTACCATGGTTAGTTCGATTCTGCAGAAGTGCTTTGTGGACATAGATGAAGAGGGGACGGAAGCAGCAGCTGCAACAGCTGTGATGATGATGCTCAGCTGTGCAGTTGGGGGCATAGACGAGCCCCCCATCACCTTCCACGTCACCTGCCCTCATGTATACTTCATATACCAGCCATCCACGGGGATAGTGTTGTTCAATGGGGTTGTTACTGACCCCACTGTTGGACATTGAGTCTGCGTCCCACTGCTGACTTTTTGAGATCAGTTGGATAGCTTTTGCTTTAGTTTCGACGGCGAAACTGTTGTACTTTTTACTGCACAAGCGGTTTTGAACAGTTTACTTCGCCTGTTGAATTGATAAATAATATGTTTTTTTTGCAGTTATTTCCATGAAAAAAATGATGCAAATATTCAAAAAATCTAACATATCGAACCATTAGACAGTGCAACTACTCGTGCTCACTTCAGTGCTATAAATTCACTGTTTTTAAAAATATTTATTTTGCTCATATAAAAGTTAGCGAACAGAATTAAATTTTGAACTAGTTTGTACCTGCTTTTGGAAGTAAAATTTTCGAAATCGGAAATTTGTAGAGAATCTTATTCTAGTTATCATCTGAACAAATTTTTTGTTCCGACCTTCAAAAAAAAGATGCTAGCTGCGCTTTTTCTCGGAAGAAATTTTGGTGATTGAAGTCGGAATCTCGATTGACAATTTTTTGAATCTCGTTAGCGATATTTATCGAAGACTAGTGACCTCTTTGGGGAAACTTTTGGCGTTTTCACAGCATCAGCCTTGTGTATTTATAAGTTAATTTTTTTTTCAGATTGGTCTTATTCATTAAATTATTGCGACGAGAGAAAAAGGAAGATACAGTAGTCCAAATGGGATCCATGTTAGGCAAAAAAGGGTCAGAGTCCACAGATAAGGAGAATGGAGGCGACGAGAAGATACAGGTCAGCTTCTAGGATTTAAAGTTATGGAAAACGGCATTTGTAATAGTTTTTTTTGCGTTTTCGAACTTCCAGAAAACATGACAGAGCCATCTTCTACCAGTTTCCACCTTCCTAAAGCTTTCTTTTGGTTTTAGTTGGTTTTAGTCAATCAAGTCGATCAATTTTGAAAAGACAGAAACATAGAATTTAGGGTGTTTATAATAATAAAATCCATAGGTTCAATAGAACGTTGAGCCATTGGTGGTACTCAAATCTAATTCAGTCCCGTTTTAATCGCTTAACTATTGGACCTGTTGTTTTGATTTAATTGATGGCTGCTGTAGGTGAACAAGTGGGACAGTAGTGCGGTGAAGAATGCGATCGATGATTGTGCGAAGCAGGTGGCCTCAGGGAAGTTCAACTTCGAAGAGGTCTTCCAACTCATGAACATCCGACTCGTCATCAGGTGACCACAAACAGCATCATTGCTATACTCTTGTGTATTGTATTGTATTGTTGCTAATGTTAATCAAATGTAACAATTTTGTCTGGCAACCAAGTGTCTTAAGCCCATAAATGGCCATACTTTTTAAATAAATGCCCTAACTTTTTAGAGGAGTTCATTTTGAAGAAGACATCTCAAGCTACAAGAAAATACGTTATGAAACTCTTTTTTCTTGAGTTTTGAATTGGTTTTAGAAAAAGTAGTTTCAAGATTATTGTGTTCAGAGCAGGTTTTATTGTTTGTTTTAAAAGCCGTTTCAAGGCTTGTATCTGGAGTTGACTAAAGATACCGTAACTAGTATCAAATTTATGCCTTGTAATGTGTGTTTTGTCTGTGTTTCTTGTTGTGCAGTTGTGTGGCAGTGTCATTTGCGGCGTTGGCCCTGTTGTATGACTTAGCGAATCCATTTCCGAAGAGCAAGTACGTCCTGGCCACATGCAGTCTCTCCTACTTCTTCATGATGGGAATATTCACCCTCTTCACCCTCCTAAAGGTAATACAACTCCAGATTCTCTGCCTAAATTGTTGCGCCCAAACGGCGCAAAATGAAAACAAATAATGCAAATGCTCGGATCTCATTGGTTTTACTTAGGTGAGCTACCAAAACAACATGAATAATGATGATGGTTTAGACGAACAAAAAAGTTAATTTCTGGGAAACGAGAGAAACCAGAAGAGAGGTCAAAAATTAAGAACAGTCAGTTCTAGTCTCAATCAACGAAGTTAAATTATCGTCAAAACATTAATTCGATATTTCAATTCAAAAAAATGCATCCATAATGTCACAAAAGCAGGCAGGTTAATGCAATCAGCTTCATGTCTCAATTTTTTTTATCTTGGTTTGACTAAATTTGCGCTTCGTAACTATAACGCATTTGTGAATTCTGCTCCAAGAGACAAAGTATATCTTTTTATGTAATCTTACATATATCCAGACATGATCCGCTTGACCATAGCGATTTCGATTTGATCCATATTGATTTTTTGCTTGAGATACAATAAAGACTTCATTCATTGGTTCGAGAAAGATCAACATGCGAGCTGGTCAGCCGCGTTTGTGCCCGAACTAACAGTTTTGATTTTTTTTGGCTTGTTTTTTGGCTGAATAATGATGCCTCACCCTCACAGCCTGTCATACCGTAACGTTTGAGTTTGTTATGGAATCCGAACGGATAGGGTAAATATCTGCAAGTAAGTTTAGTTGAGCGAAAGAACTGAACATATATCTGAATTCGTTTGTTCGGAACATAGACGTTCAACTTTTAGGCCTTGAATATTGACGGTCAAGGCCAACAATCTTAGTTTTAGTAATATAACTGGTAAAAGATTTACAGTACAAATAAATAAACAACTTCATGATGAATAATGCCAATCCGGCCGGATGACATCCCCCTTGAATGAAATAACTCAGTTTATCGTCTCCGTGGGACCAAATTGTTTGAGTTTTAAAGTCCCGGTGGGACTAGGGGTTTATTTTCTCCGTAGGACTGTCTGTTTGATCGTTTATTCTGTTCCTTTTCTTTCGTAATTTGTTTTATAGCTGTTACATTTGTGGCTGTCTCTTCCGTCGTGATAATCTTTGTTGCCGTCGCTACTTGTTCATCATCCTCTTCAAAGACTTTTTTGTGCTCCTCCGTTGTATTTATTTCCTCGTTTACTCGGTCTACCGTCTATTTTTTGGGACTTTCCACCGGGGAGGTCAGATCAATGATTTTTACCGTTTCGTCATCTTGCTTTTTTGGTTTGATGGTTTCCAGGAATTAAATGCATTCAGTACTTTAATGTTATAGTTTTTTGTGTTTATCCTTATGACTTTTTGTTACAATCAGAATGTCATCAAGGTAGGCAAATGTGTTTTCACAATTTGTTAATGTGAGACCTATGGCTTTTGAAGTTCTGTCGGCATGTCCGTGAGGCCGTAGAATCCCCTCTGAAATTGGTATCTTCATGTCGCTTTCTTCCCTATCAGACTTCCCCCCCCTAGCATTGTTCTCTCGTTTCCTTATCTAATGGGATTTGCGAAAATGCTTAGCGTAGATCGAGAGTTGTGAAGAGGGATTGTTGTGAGTCATCCCCCTTTATGATTTGTGCGATGTTGTCAAATAACAGTTCAATATTAGGCATTTGGTATTTGTTTTTGTGTATGAGTTAATTGATTTTCTTGGTGTCTAGCGCAAGTTTAAACGTTTTGTCCTTTTTTTACCGTTATGAAGACTGGGCTGATGAATTGTGTTATCAGAACTTTTGTCTACTCTTTTGATTTTTTCTGATCTATTGTTTTACTTAGCTCCGCTTCCACTCTTTCTTGTTAATGAATAGGGATTCTTCGACCTTTTTGCTGGATCGAAGTAATATTTTTGTTAAAATTGAGTTCGCATTACGTGATCTTCTGATTTTCACACAAATTTCTCGGAAGTTTTCTTTAACCGAGGTTTGTATTTCCTGGTCGGATCTTTCTTCTGTTCCATGAATATTGAGATTACTGTTGTGTGCTGCCCTGTATTGAACAAGTTTGATACCTATTTGTGGTAGAATATTTCGCCCGATTATATTTGCTTTTTGGTCGTCAACGATGATAAACGGGGCCGACTAAATTATCCATCCTCCGGACTCCACCGCAATGATAAGTCGCCCCTTTTTTGAACAATGGGTTTTCCATTATAACAAGCGAGTCTTCGGGCTGCAGCCTCCGGTGGGATTGACCTAAATTTGGCGGATCGATCGGTTTTTCCAAATCTTTCCGCCGTTTTTTCGTTGAAGGACATGGGGCTTCCAGACTCTGCGATGGCGAGAAAAATCTTCTGAATGTGTTTTAAGTTTTGCTAAATGTTCATTTAGCTCTTTTTTTATGTTTAATGCGTTTCTGGCTTCAAATGCTTCTGAAATTGCCAGCAAAGTAAAATTGTCCCGAGGAATTTCTTCCTAAACGTTAGTCGATATGAATTCGGCATAAGTCACTGGGTCATTATTATCTCCTGCGGCGAATGAATTTTCTTTTTCTTGTTGACTGCCCGTTTCTTGCATGTAGTTAACATTTGTTGACCTACATACTCTTGCAAAATGACCTCGTTTTGCGTACTTAGTACATATTTTTTCTTTTGCTGGGTATGACGTCAAATGATTTGATCCAAACGGTTCACCACATTTATAACATGTTTTGTTTGTTTGTTGGTTTTGTTGCCTCTCGTGGGTGTACGCTCTGCGGGGAAAATATTTCGACCTCGTCTATTTCCGCGACTTTTTAACTTGTTTTGGTACAAGTTCTGATAGCCACCTCTCCCGCGTGGTTGGATTTAGCTCATGGGTTTCTGTTTCGCTGATGTGTTTGTGTTTATTGTTGCTCCGAATGGGTTCGTTTTCATCAATTTACTTTGTTCTATACCTTTCTCCCTCCTGATTGCATATTCGTATGCTTCTTGTATGCGTCTTGTGGAGATTTGGTCTCTGCCAATAACTCTTCTGCAATCTTTTCGTTAGACATGTGGGCCGTGAACATATCCCGAACCCATTCATATTCTCGATCTCCACAATCCGCTCGGGAAGCTAATTCGACTAAATTTGCAAGAAATTTTTCCAATGTTTAGTTTTTCCGTTGTTTTCGACAAATATTCGCGTCAGTTCTTTTGTAGTTGTCGTTTGAATTTTTGGGTTTGGTCTTCTTTGTTGTAATTGTCTTTGTCCTTCTGCTCCGAGACATAGAAAAACATAGCTTCTAACTTTGGTGCATCATCCCATGGTGTTTTATCACGAAGTACGCCTTTTTTTTGATTTTTTCACGTTATTTTTCCAAGTTACTCGTTATTTTTTTGGTTTCTGATGTCTTTTTTATTGTTTTTGTGCTTATGTTTCACCAGTGATCTCGATTTCGTAAGTCGTTTCTGTTGGTTCTATCACAGGAGGTTTCGCTCGTAACAAGTTTCTTACATCTATCCCATCTTTGGCGAAAACGGCCATCTCCATCATCGCTGCTCTTTTTGAACATTTCAGTGGTGGTTCTTACGATGCCTTCTGCCACAAAAGTGGGATACTCATTGGTTTTTTATATCCTGCTGGCTGCGCCATGTCATACTGTAACGTATGAGTTTGTTATAGAATCCGAACGGATTGGCTAAATATCTGTTAGTAAGTTTAGTTGAGCGAAAGAACTGAACATAATTTTAAATTATTTGTTCTGAACATGGACGTTCAAAATTTAGGTCTTGACTGGTCAAGGCCACCAATCTAATTTATAGTAATATAACTGGTAATAGATTTTTAGTATAAATATATATAAATACTTCATAATGAATCATGCCAATCCGGCCGGATGACACAGCCCAAGAGTATGGATTATGGTGGGTCTCGAACCTCCGATCTAATGTCCGAGATGCAGAGACGGCAGTTTGTTTCAGGAGAAAAACATAGTTTACCAGGGTGATGACAGGGAAACAGTGGTAGGCATTCCTTGTAGACTGGAAATGGGCAGCACTCTTAAGAAGTATCAGAACATATTCCACTTCGACCTAGCACTGCACAACGGAGACGCACACGAAGGTATGATATTTTGCAAAAAGTTCGATTCAATCAAAAACAGCTATGAACCTAATCGTTATAAAAGGCGTTTAGCTAACAATATCATTCTCCGATTTTTTGAGAGGATATCTTCAGTGCGGCATTTTTGCTGTCATCGTTTTTGTTTCCTGCAATGTTATGATTGTGTCCAATGTCAACTGTTTTTCAACTCCTACAGATATCGTTACAGCAAAAAAACTAATGAATTACCAGTGCTTCGTTATTTTACGAGAATTGCATGTAACTTACTTTGCAGCTCAGTTTCGCGGCACAGATTAGTGGGGATTTAACATTAGGAAGTTTGTCCGAATTGTGGGCTTTGAGTTTATTCACTAAATACATCCCTGAAAAAGGGCGATCGTTTTGAATTGGTTCGACAATTCAAATGCAATTTTGAAAATTCGATTGCAATTTTAACGCCATTTCACTGTCTCCAGGTCAGAATTTTTTCAAAAATTTAAGTCGTTGTCTGATAAATTTATTAAAACTATATATTATATGGAGAGTTGCAAAAAGTTCTGATTAAAAATGGCAATTGACCAATTTCAGAAAATTGAAGAAAAGAAAAGCTCGTTTTTAGACAGATTTTATGTCTAAAGGTTGCCCTGCCCGTAAGTTCGAAACTGGTACAATTGGCAGATTGCTCCTTTCAAGTGTTTTGTCTATCAGGAATTTCTGCTACTTATAATTAATAGGAAAAAGTTCGGACAAACAATGTTAATTAAAAGATCAATTGGCCTATGTGGTACCGTTTTCGCATGCAAAAACCAATTTTTTAGACACGGTTATTGTTTCAAGGTTGCCTGAAACTTCAAAAAGCAAGCAACATTTTTTCAAATTGAAAAGATTGCTCTTTGTAGTTATTTCTGTATGTCTGATTTTCTTGCAACTCTATTGTTTATAACAAATATACTGGACAACGCCTTCTTAATTTTCAAAAATAATTTTGACTTTCAAGCTCAAACTAATTGAAAGCAGCTCTTTAAAAATTGTTATAAGCTTTCCTTTCGGTCATTTTTGTTTGAAAACTTACATGGCCCATCGTTATTGAGTGAAAAGCGTTTGATGAAGTAAGTGGGCTTGAAAATATTCAGTTTTATACGGGCCTGAAAACGTGCACTACTTTTTCGGCGACCAATTGGTAACCCTGGACATGAAGTCCAGTTTTTTAAATTCAGGACAACGCTTTCGAAACACCGCATTCAACGAAAACAGCTCGAACTTGCAATAAGCAAAAAGCGACGACAAAAAAAAACAAACGCGGAACTTACAAAATCTCTAGATGGAGGGTTGACCAGAAACCTCTTGAAATACTTCAGAAATTTAAGAGTTCCTTATGCTTGTTATAACTCAATGAAACTGAAAGGCGAGTCGTTTGATGTTTAGAGATTGAGTTCAGTTTTCCAGTGGAGAACTATTTCACTGAAGACGGAGTGCTTCTGGAAGAGAAATTTGAGAAATTGCTGACTGAAAATTTCAACAAAATTGTCCACGTTCGAAAGGGAGAATCGAAAAAGAAAAACTGACTAATGCAAGTCATCAGAGTTTAACTTGATATCAACTAGTTTTCGTGGATCAACGTACTGGTTTATTAAACGAGATGTATAATTAATTATTGTTCTAAGTATCGTCCATCGTGTCTTAAAATGGATACGCAAGAATGAAACTTAATGTTTTGCTTTTATGTAAAAAAAACTATTTGTTGTTCCAAACCCAGTTTTGCTGTTTATTTATTTGTGCATTTATGGTTCTGAAAACTAAATTATTCTTTGAATTTAAGTAGTATATGAGCTGAATATGTGTGATTTTGAGTTTTGGCTGTAATTAATAGTAAATGTTGCTCGTGTTAGTTGGTCGCAATAAAAAATTGGCTGGGATTGTTTTTTAGATCAAGTGAAATCAGCCAAATTGGAGTGATTTAAAAGTGGTTCTGGAAATCTATAATTGTATTGTCTCAGGTTTTTCGGAAGTTTATTCGGAGATAATGAAATAGAGACTTGCGGGAAAATGGCACTTTCTATTTTTCTCTTTACCAATCAGCACTTTTTTCAATTAAAATTCAATTATTTTAAAAAACAACGCTTTTTGGAGAAGAGCATTGCCGTATGATTGAACGCAGAGGCATGTTCTTTTTGCTTACACTAGCGTCAGCTCCGTTTTTTTTATTACGAATGTTCCTTTTTTTCTAACCTAACTCGCAAATAAAGGATTAATTAAAAAAGTTCACTCATTTGCAAATTTCACTGTAGTACTGAAAATAACATAGCATCTGTTCTCTGCTTTATTATCGACTAGTGTATAATAATAAGTGGCTATGCTCAACGATCTTTGATATCTTTGTGAAATATTGAGACTCTCTGAAATTGAGCTTGTAGATTTTCCATGTGTCCAGACTCTTAGATATCTTAAGCAAATGCTGACAATCTTAAATTAAAAAATTGTACTGTTTTTGGATAGGTTTTATTTAGTTTAAAAATTGTAAGCAAGAAAACTTAGTGAGCCGTTGTGATATCGTTTGTGACTGACACGAGAGAAAACTAATATTGTTATTTTAAAAAAAAAAGTTTATCTAGTTCATTTAAGCTGTTTCCTGTGAGTCCTGCTGTTATCAGCGTAGTTGAAATGGCAGACTGAGTGCAGCTGCTAACCGAAGATTTGCAATCCAGTGAACTTGGGCAATGTTTCAAAAAAATAAGACATAGAAATTTAAATACATAAATATACACTTCAAGGTTACGTTAATGCTAGCACAGTAGCAGGCAGTACCACATATCCTCTCGGGTAGGAAATGTTTTCAACTACTTTCTAAAAATAGTTTCGTAATAACAATAGGAGTTAATTCTCAGTTTCTAAAACTTTGATTTTCAGTTTGAAATTTTGTATTGTTGTCGCCCCATTATCTGTTAATCTTCGCCTAGGTCGATTCTTTGCATAGCCGAATTTTCTTCGGAACAGATGTCTCTGGAGCAGCCCCAGTCGCGTTTTTATGGGTCTATACGTGTCTGAAAGTATGTGAGTCTCCTTCGGTATTTGTGTGGTGCCGCCTTTAGTAGTGCACCCCCTGATAGATCTTCCTCTGAGATCTCTCGTATCGAGTGTTTTACGGGATCGCCGAACCGTCGAGATTCCTTGCTGTTATTTTGTCTGGAGCTTCTTCTGACCACCGAGTTCTCCATGCTAGAATCATCCGCTGCGCCTATTGGAGGATCGAATTTTTCATCACTCTCTCCTTCTGGTTGTTTTTTTTTCCTCTAAATTTGTCTGCTACTTTTTGGACTCCTCTTCAATGCTTGGTTGGCCAGGTTTTCCCACTCTGTTAGCGACAGGTCACGATTTTGAAAAGTGTCAATTATGTCCTCTGGTTTTTTGGACAAGTCCACGTTCTTTGAGTTTCTCCCCTTTGGGGAGTTTTCCAGAAGTTTCAGGCTCTCCCTCAGTTGGTCTATTCATGTTTTAGCTGCGATGCTGTCAGTCCTGACCTTTCCAGACGTTGTTTGTCTAATTATTCAGAATTAGTTAGAAGTGTTTCTCTACACTTTTTATATTCATGCTTAGGCAGTCTTTCGAAAGGTGCCTGAAATGGAAAAACATGGATTTTTTTGTTTTTTTTTGTCTCAGATCGCGAATTATCGTGCTGCTGAGACATAATTTTATCGAACATTTGCCTGAAAACTGATCCGATGTTATTGATTCGGGCATATCATGCGTATCTATGTAACTTCTTGAAAATTTCACTGTTGCTTCTCCGCTTGTCGATTCGGTTATTTTCATCGACGGAAATTTCAAGAGTTGGTCGATAGCTACTAGTCAATTTGTTTTCACTCCGTTATGATTCGTAATCGGACTCGCAAAATTTAATTGAAGTCCTGGCCCGGCTGCGTGAGCAGTGGTAGAGATTTTTTGATACGTTTTTTAGAATTTAATCTTTTGCGTTCTTGCCATATCTAGTGCAACGGCGCCACTTCCGCGAGGGTCACAATGTCTCTATGCATGTGAGGGCACCACAGGTAACATCATACTCCTAGCATTGCTTCCTGTCCTGGGTGTCCCCCATAATTTTTTTCTTCACTGCTGGGCGTAGATGTATGGGTACTGCAATTCGTTTGTCTACCAGTACGCAGTCGTCTGATACCACCATTTGATTCCATAGGGAATTTGTATAAGGTCACTTGAGCTCAAATCCTTGTTTACTCCCTCAATCGCACACTCCTGAGCCTGTATATCCAGCCATCTTCCAAGATGAGCTCCGCGGGAAGGCTGTTATCGAAAAGTCTGGACAGGTTTTCTATCCGTCCTCTCACAATTGATCTGACAGTTTCTGGTTGTTTATCGAAAGGTGGCTGACTCTACGCGTTGGCTCTTTTGCTGAGACCTTTTTTTGTTGTTCCTCGTTCTCTTCTGTAGCTGTTAGGTCGACCTATGTTACGTGAATGTAACTTGAGCGAACTCGTCCGTTTTTGCGGGTTTTCTTCTATTTAGTGCTGGGTTTTCCTCTGTGGCTGCCTCCGCCTCGCGCGTGGAGTCGTCCTCTGACGGGAATCAATTCACTGTTGATTGTTGTTGGTTACTACTCTCATTTTCCGTGCTGTCTTGGTTTTTTTGCTTTCCCTGAAAATTTTCCTTTTTCTCTGCAGTGTTTCTGCGACTTCCTCCTCCGACATGTCGTTCGTGTTACTGATCGATCTCTTACCAGCGCGGGTCCATCAGGATTTTTCCCCTGTTCTCGCCTCTTCATCTGTCCTGTGGGTTTTCGGACCACCAATTGTACAATCTTTTTTGCTGCCCGCTCAGTTTCTCGGTATTTTTGATTGATTCCGAATTGTGTTTCATTTTTGAAAAAATTCTAGCCGGCCGTTCTCTGGGTTGAAAATAAAAGAAAGTGTTTGTTTCCAGAAGAAAGTTGCTGTTTAGCTGCTTGAACGGTCGCAAAATTTGATTATTTCGTTTCGGTTGAGCTTTGTTTGTTTTTGACCTTTTTGGTTGCCATATCAACCGTGATGCGATGAGTTCAGTACTTCTTTTGTTCTAGAATGTTCTAGTACGTTTTCTTTCCGGTTGAGCGAATTTCTGTTATCTAGCTTAATGCTCATGCAGTCTAAAACTTTGTGAGAGGAATCGTCTATTTCGGATTCGGGCCATGAGTCACCATGGGGTTTCTTCGACAAATTGTCTAATATTCCCGTGTTTTTCCCTGGAATATGAACTATTTTGAACTGATGGGGCAATATCCTATCTACCCACCGAGTCAATATAGACTGGTATGTCTTACGTGACCTGTTTCTATCCAGGGCTTTATAGTCAATTGCAATGATAATTTCTTTATCTAGAAGGTAAGGTTTGTACCTGTCTACTGCCAGACAGCCGCGAAGAGTGCTAGCTCATTGGTAGAATTTTTTTGGATGTATCTAGATGCAGAAAAGAATAGAACTCACTCCCCCTCGTCGGTTTTTTTCCTAGGGTGGCTTCCAAACCATTGTGACTTTTGTCACACTTAATTGTTTTTATGTCTTTTTGAATCATAATAATTTTGATATTATTGGATAGTTGCAACTGCAGTTTTGATACTCTCAAAAACGGCTCTGTGCTCTTCTCCCCAATCGAATTTCTTCACTGGCAGTTTCATGTTTTTTTAAGTTTTTCTTTTGGGTCTCTTTCAGGAGCAGTCTAAATTTGTCGAAGAGACTTGCTGCGATCGGATTGAATTTAGATAGATGGTTGATTCTAACCATGAAAGATCTCAACTGTTTTACTGTTTCCAGCTTGGCATAGACTTGGATCGATTTTTTTCTGCATGGTCATGAGTATTTTTTATCAGATTTGAGGCTTCGCTCCTACCTCATATTACCAGTAGGAGATTTTACTTCATGTTTCTGATGTAAAAAGGTGGTTGGTCTCATGGAAATAGGCTCTTATGTTGCTTATCAATAGTAACGTTGATAATTGGTTGTAGTGGGAATACTTCTAAGGCCATTCCTGTGATAGTAACAAAATTTTGTTGACAATTTGGTGCATCTAGCGCATTGAGTGTCAACTGTTCATCCAGCGAAGAAAATGGTACTGTTGGCCATTGGGCTAAAATAATTTTGATGTTTCCTCTTATGAATGTTTCGGCTCCATTGTATTTGAACTTGGATTTGTTAGTTTTTTGGGGGCTCAATAGAATAAACAGATAGTTTTTAGCCTTTCGAGACAAAACTTGTTGATTATGCAGTCTTAATAAGTACATATGATTTCACTGCTAGGAATGTTTCTATTTACAACTATGAGCGCGCCGCTTTGCTAAGTTGTGCTGACGGGTTTTGCGTCATATTTGTCTCATAGTTTGGAAGGCTGAGTCAGATAAGTTTACCATTAATGAAGTCTCATTTAATCAAACACTAAGCTGTGGTAGTCGATTTTTGACATAGATAGCATTTGAAAAGAGAGTTTTTCGTTGATAGTCAATTATGCTTCTGACGTTATAGACAAAGATTATGTAATGACATTGAGGGAAAAGAATGGTCTTGCACAGACAAGTTTTCTTTCTTGTGTTCTTTTTCAGGTTTACACTTGTTGCCGTCGTGAATGTATAGTACTCCATCACAAGCTTTTTGCTAGTTCATGCCTCTTATTGAGTACCTGTTTCGCACGTTTAGTTTCCTCTTTAGATAACTGACTGCTTAAAAAGACAAGTTTTCTGAACGGTTGCTGTTGTCTGGCAGGGAAAAGAATCATTCTTCTATGGTATGGGTTGGGTAATTTAAGAAAAATGATTTTATTTTATTTTCATCTTATTTGGCTAGTTGTGTGACATCTTTTATAGTTACCTTGAAATTGATATCCAATAAAAATTTTTCAACCTCGTGGAAGTCGTTTTCTCGTCGACAACGAT